AACTAGCACTTCAAAGCAGGCCAGCAGCGCAAGACCTTGCATCTCTTTCAGAACATTTCCTTTAATCTCGCAGTGGTTAGCCTGTAAATATGTTGCAAAATTAGGTTGGACATTTTGAAACCTAGGTTTCTGGAGTGTTTGAGCAGGTAAGCCCCTCAGTATTTTTTATACTGTTCTTCTCTAGAAGTATCCTTTACAATTATTAGAAAAAGAAAAAAAAAAAAAAAACTATTTAAAAAGGTAATAGAAAGACTTAATCTAAACTGTCAATTAAACAATTTTACTTCCAAGATATTTGACTTGCTGTTGTGTATTATCTCATATTGCTTGAAATGTGTTGCAAATGAGGACACTGCCAATGAACAGTAAAACCTCTTAGCAGCAGAGAGATTTCATAACCAGTATAGCCCTTGCCCTATAGGGTAATACAGGGCCATTCTATACATAGGCCAGGCATTAATTGCATCATTAAGGCTATGATTCTAGCAAATAAAATGCATGGTTATCATCAATCCAGCTCCATGTTCTTTCAGCATGTTCCCTTTCATAGTGCAGGTATGGAATCCTATCATATGGGGTTTAGTATTTTTACACAAAGTGCATCTAAAGCCAAAGCTTTTTTTTTCCCTGTTTGTTTTGGATAAAGTAGAAGAGAAGGAATAAAACTCTTGTCAGGCTTTACTGCCTTCTGGGGCTCCACTGAAGAAATCCCTTTACTTCCCGTATGGGAAAACAGTTGTCCCCAGGACAGGAAGTGAAGGTAAATCTCTCAAACAGACAGACAAAAGATTAAAAAAAAAAAAAAAACCCTCTTTTTCTTTACTGGAATGCAAGAACCACTGCCAGCTATTTATTGTTATCCGTTTGCCTGGTGCTGAATTTCCCTCACTTCCTGTCTCCCCACAGGAGAAAGTCAGGAAAATATCTCTAATAGAGCCCTGGATAGCAGTAAAACCCCTAATTAAATGAGAAAAGAAAAAAAAAAAAAAAAGAAAAAAAGATTTGGGTATAAATACACTTTAAACACATTTTGAATCCAGCTAGTAAATTTCCCACACTCTCTACATCATTCATGTAGCAGCAGTACGCTTTACAGTGACTGTACAGTCTATTATAAATCATTTTCAAGCAGCAGCAATTATATGCTTTGTACAAATTCTGGATTTCAGGCCCCACTATACACAAAAGATTCCATATACTGATAATGTCATCAATCATAAAATTCAGTGAATACCCAACTGCATAAAAAAGGGGATATTTTTATGCAACACAACCCCATTTTCTTTACAGCAGAGCTGAGCAGTCGATACAAATTATTAAAATTTGCTGTCCCTGTTGATTATGTACCTATCTTCTGATTACTGTAAAACATTTTTCGGACATCCTGAGAAATGATTAGAATTCATGCTACAATTCAACTTAAAAAATGTGATTCTATTATCACTAAAGTATGTGCTTATGGCCTAAAAAACTACCAATCAAATCAGCCAAAAGCTGTAAAATAGTCACCCTATATACATAAAATAGAAAAAAAAAAAAAAAAAGGGCCAATATTCCAACAAAAGACGCTTTAGCAAATCCAAAAAAAATAAAATAAAAAAAAAGTCCACAGCAGACTGAGATGATTACTCTTTCAAATCAGAAAGGAAAAAAAAAAAAAAAAAAAAAAACAGATATTACCTCCAAATAATTCATGTAGTGGTTATACAATAATGCATTTTGTGACCATACGACTGAGATGACTAAAGAAGGTGAACAAGGCACATATTCATTGGACAAAAATTAAAAAGAAATATAAATACCTGGAATACTGCCCAGGAGAAGAAGTGCCTTCTAAATTCTGCTACTTAAAACTGAAGTATTTAAGAAAAAAAATGCCAGCAATAAGAAAAGATGGTTCTATTGCACAGGACAATCTAGGCCCCCCTATAGGCACTGAATGAAGGGGACCAAGCAATGGAAGAAATTTGACAATTACAGCCTATACCTCCCAGGTGGCCTTTAGAAAGGCCACTAAAACCCAAATCACAAAAAACAGTAGAATCAAGGGGGCTTAAAAGGCAAAAAAATGATCCTAAGGATGGGATGGAAATTGCCTAAGAGATTATGAATATTGGATAGGGGCTAGAGCTATTTTAGACAGGAAGGTTGGCACAAAGTTGGCCTAAATAAGGCAAACAAAGCAGTCTGGGTCATAACTAAGACTTTTTCTCCAGGATGAGTCCCCCAAATAAAGAAACTAGTCAGTAAAGAACATTCATTCACTTATTTCTGTCTTATTTCACACATCATGGTTGATGGCAAGTACTGACATGTACACGTAAATCCCAAGCTGGAGGCAGGACCATACACCTGGCACAATTCTCTAGTCTTTAATATTAATGTGCAAGTATGTTTCATTACAGGATCTGCTTTGGTTTGCTGTCATTACAAAAGCATGATGCTCCTGCACTCCACAATCAGAGCACCCATGGGCATGTATGAAACCATGTGCAAAGGAAAATTAGTGTTGACTATAGCAGCCAGAGATCTGCTTTAACATTTGAATACTACCACAAAAATGGCAACTGGTATCGAAGTTGCTGTTATGAGCATCACCAGCATTTTCCTATGTTCACTCCTTCACAAATGCCTCCATTGTACTGTAACCTACAGCAACCAATCATGTGTTCGCTTACATTCCTCTGGAAATTAGAAATTGGCTGTTTTTCATGGTTCTAGCACATCTGTGCATACTACAAAGAGAAAAACTGCAATGAATTTGCAAACTGACAATACTCACTGGATCTATGCAAGAAAAACAAAAAAACCCGTCAGTGCCTTTATCAAAATGGATTCCACAGCAGACCTGAATGTGCGATGCTGGCCAATCTTACCCTTATAAAAAGAGTCACTCAATATCACCTAATATAATTGAGGAAGATGATATGTTGCATATATGTGTAAATGCATTCTCTAGAAATTGCACAACAGACAAAGAATAATGACAAAATGCTTAAGATAAATACAACAGCCCGACCGACACAGACCACACACTGCACCTCCAAAACACTAAAAGGTAAACGCATGCCTCATTAATGCACAAGCCAGCTTCACATTAGTATGTCAGTGAGCTGTGAGGCTTAGAAGCACCTCGGACAAGATAACTGGGAGTTTATTAACAGTGCTGCACAGAAAGCCAAAAGAAAGAAAAAAAAAAAAAAAGTAATAAAAAATATATATATATTTATAGAACTTTGGACACATCACTAAAACCCCTGAAGGATACACACAGAGAAATGGTGTACACCTGAAGAAACAGACAATGACAACATGGCATTATAAAAAACGTGACATGTAACTGTGAGGACCAATCCAGCGTCTAGAAGAAAATTCCATGTACAAGTACAAATAGTTCCAGTGTAAATATAGCTTGGCGCATTTGGTTTTTTTGTGATCTCTATACAAACAATAGACTGAGAGGTAATATTTAGACATATGCATGTGTGTATATATTTATATTTATATATAGAGAGATTCTGATTTTTTTTTTGTTGTTTCTCTTTTTTACAAAGAATTAAAATACTTAATAAAAAATGTTAAAATCCCTCCTCTGCCCATCAACCCTCCCCCAAACATCTTAAAATAATTAAAGAGAAAAAAACCCCCAAAAAAACAGAAAAAACAAAAAAGACACTCCAGTTAAAAGTTATGGCTTTAGAGTTATTGTACTGTAGATGCTAAACTAAAAAAAATCCTCCCATTCAACTAAGATCCTGTTTTAAAATGTGATGTGTCGCTCACAGCAACCCTGCTTCCAACCTGCCGCAGCTGGAGCCTGGCTTGGGTGACCGGGAACAGGCTCTTATTTTATTTTTATTTTTTTCGCTGATCAAAAAGACCAAAAGACAAAAGCTCTGCTTCTTTTCAGTTCCTTCCAAGAAAAGGATCTACACCTCGCTCCATGCCGGTCTATTTGATGAGCACAAACATTTAAAATCCCTGCTGTTGGCAAATGTTTGACACCTGAGATTAATTTACAAATGATGATGGATTTTTGCAGGTTGTCCTCCTCGCTCACATCCGCTGGGACAGCACAAGCTGAGGGTCTTTTATTGAAAGATTTCTATTGCCAATAGGTTTTCACCATCGTTTTCCTCTCCTCTGGTAAGTGGATGGTTAGTGTTATGTTCAAACAAGCTCAGAGTTTGGATTTTGTTGCTTTGCAAAAGAGAGAAAAAAAAAATAGAAAAATAATGTGACAAGTGGCCCTGTATGCAACCTTTACATGAAGTGTCTGGTGATCTACGTACAGACACCTCAAAAAAGTCGAGTTTTTTTTGTTTTTTTTCTTATACTTGCGCATGCAGACAAGCTCACATGTACACCAACAAAAACACAGGTCAAAAAATAGCTACACACACCCTTGCACATGCACAGACACGGGTCTACGTGGATAGTGTAGTGTTTGCTTCCAAGCTCCAATGTCATTCTGTACAAAGCCTGAATTGTAAGAACACAGTCCATTGCAAGGGGAGTATCCTTGTTTGTGAATGGGGTAAATCCAAGAGAAACCTCAGCTAGCTTACTGGGACCTGAACCAGTAAGAAGAGTAGGGTCTAGTATGCTATGCAATACTCTGAACCATGTGGACCAAGTTAGATGAAGTGGATTTTACCCTTCACAGATGGAAACGGGGGTGCCACCATGATTATTTCATTTGGAGGAAAATAAAAATCAGGCAATGCGGCAGTCACCTGAATTGGATTCCTTATCTTCATGCTGTTCAGAAAAAGAAGGAAAAAATAGAAAGAAAAAAAAAAAAAAAAGTTTCTGTTTCAGACCCAAACCTAGAATTAATATAAGTGTGCTGTTCTCTTCCATTTTGGCCAAAAGGCCCCATTGTTCAACTGGCAGTTGTCTGGGAAGAAACGTTGAGGTAGGCCTCATACTTATGTACTACATCATGGCAGCTTGTATGAATTTTTCCACATTTTTTTTTAGGGGCTTTGTGAGAGGCTTCAGATCTTCACATCTTCTTGTATACTGAGTTGTGACAGTGTTTTCTTAATGCGCAGAGCTGTCAAGCGAGCTGCTCCATTGGCGTACCAACACTCTCTCATCATTTTCCCCATCACCCGAAGAGCCTGTTTAGTAAATGAAATTACAAAGCCAAAACGTCAGTCAACAATAGATGGGAGAATGGACACATCTAGGGTCTTATTTCAAATAGAATTCTCATTTGTAAGTGTAGTAACTTGTAGCAATTTATCTGTGCTGATCTGGCTATCAGAGTAAATTCTGATTGTTTGCTACTGGTTACTGCCCACACACTGTAGGTAAAGAGCTGTTGAGAGAATTCTGGAATGTGCCTATGTCAATAGAAACTGACCCCCTAGAAGTTACTCCTGCAAGAATGTAACAAGTCTGGTGACAACGGTGTAAGAAAAGCGGTTTTACACTTTAGAACAAATGTAAAGTATAAAAAAAAAATAATGCTGAAGGGGTGGGTTTGGGGGTAAATTAGGGTAACACCCCTAACATATACATTAAGAATACAAGCTAATTATTGAAAAAGTTGCTATAATACTAAAAGTAATGCTAATTTTCAGTATAAGCAAGCCCCTGCATGGCGGTCTGTGCTAAGAAAACGTTAATTTATGTTCACATCTTGACAACTAGCTGCAAACACTGTGTATGGCTGCTAGATGTCTAACACAGTTTCTGCTGACAGCTCTGGTCACTACAAATAGTCAGAAACCTTTTAGTTATAGTACGGAAAACACAGGCATGGGGTATATTATTTAGAATACAGACATTTGAGCTCTAAAAAAATATATTTACATTTATAGTACAAAATGTTACAGTAAGTAAACTGACCAGTCTTTTTTGTGTGGTCAGTAACAGCAAACACCTACCTCATAACTTTGCCACCAATTTGGTATATTAGGCCGTAATTTCTGGTCACATACTACTTTACGCATTTCTTCAATAGAAGGATCCGACGGTACCAAATCATAGTATGGAAGCTGATATTCTTCATGGAAACCTGTAAATACAAATACGTAAGTGGAAAAAAAAAATAAAAAATATGACACATACTGCTGCTCCAAAAAAGTATTGTTGCAAACAAATAAACCTCAATACAGAACTTGTGAAATGAAACTAAGCAAGATAACACTTGGGGTTTAGCTATAAAACATTTGTTGGACTATTGTCACACACATTTATGCAGGATGGATGATTTTCCCTGTATTTTCTGAAATAGAACACATGTGACTCAACTCTGGGCCAAAAAGCGGCAGTTTTCTTAAAGACCTAAATGAGAAAATCTACAGCACTTTGGCCACTAGATAGAACTGCTGATCCTAGGAATTATAGAAAATGTGAGGAAAATTAATCCAGACTGCACAAATCTGTATACCCTTCGTCCAAAGTTTTATAACAATCTTTATGTGGTCAGATCAAATATTTTTCACTGAAAAGAAAGATCCAAAAAAATGCCATTGTGTAGATATATACTTTATTGTGCATAATTATGCAGTGATAATGAAGTGTTCTATCCAAACAGGAGTAGGTGGTCTTGCGCTTCAATTCTCAATGCCATCAGCTGGTACCCACTGACAAATTCAAAAGAGGAGCATATTGCCTACTTCACTGCCTTCCAGGATGCAGCACTGGGGTCTTACTGGCCAAGCCACAGGCCCAAACACTATCATGTAGGGAGAGAAAGTCATTAACCCTGTGTAAAAATTTACCTCACAGCAGGTCAAAGGCCTGTATCATGTAATTGATGGCCAATCAGTTGGGGGGGGGGGGGAACGAGAAAATCTTTACGCTGAGTGAGTTGTGTATGAGATAGATCGATCTGTCAGAAAACCTTTGCTTTCCTTTTAGAATCAACATTTTCTATGGGACTCTAAACTACAAAATACTCCCACAAATGCTGGTCATTGAGCGCAAACAAGATTTGTTAATTTGCACTAGTGGTGACACTACTACTTATGGGGGGGTGATGAAGATTTTTTTTTTTTTTTTTTTTTACACCGATTGCTTTTACACCCATAAAGGCTGTAAAAGCAATAATTTCTCCTCCTCTCTGGCTGCATTATTGCAGCCATTGAGAACTACTGTGTGAGCTGTGATTGGTCACAGCTTGTCACATGATACAAGGCTGTTGTGAATAGCCTTGTACCATGTGACCTCTGATCATTCACAGATTTCACATGTAGTAAGCAATGATGTAAGAAGTGACATCTTGCTTACTACTTTGCATGTGATCACTGATTGGCCAATCAGTGATCACATGATCGGGACCTCGCTTTTTTTTTTTTTTTTTTTAAAGAAAACCCCTTCCCATTTAATGCTGGCCAGCAATGGTACCACATGGAAGAGAAATATCACAAGGCCTAAGAAAGAAATTTTCTTTACACAAGAAAGGTGAAGGCTACCAGAAGATCAGTAAAGCTTTATTTATAAGTCAAATGTTTTATTAAACAGGTGTCCAGCAGGCAGTTGATTATAAAATGGTGTTACTTAAAGAACCCCTCCCATTTCATGCTGTCAGCAATGACACCACATGGAAGAGAAATATTACAATGCCTGAGAAAGAAAATAAATTTCTTTACACAAGAACAGCAAAGCTTTACTTATCAGTCAGAATACTGTATATAAAGTCATACAAAAATTTACAAAGTTGGAACTGCAACCATCTCACAGAGACATCCAGGCCAACCACGGAAGCCAACACCTCGACAAGAGCGTCTTCTGAGAAGGGTTGAAGGAAAAAAAAAAAAAGCCATGCAAGGTCACTGCAGTTAGCTAAAGATGTAGAAAGCCAAACTGGGGTGATTATTTCCCGTGACACAATATGTCGTACACTGCAGAGGAATGGCATTTCATGGGTGTCAGCCACGAAGGAAGCCTCTCCTAAAGCCCATGCACTAAAAAGCCCACCTAGAATTTGCCAAAATCCATGCTAAAAAAGAAGAAGACTACTGGGACTCTGTACACTGGAGTAATGAGACTAAGATAAAGGAACTGATGGCTTCAAAACTGTACTCCACACCTTTCCGACGTCAAACAAAGTAAATGCATGGTGCCCACAGTGAAACATGGTGGTGGCAGTGTCCTTCTGTGGGGCTGCATGAATGCGGCTAGTGACAGGGAGCTGCATTTCATTGACAAGATCATGATTTCACAGATGTACTACTCTATATTGAAAGAGATGATGCTACATCACTCCATGCCCTTGATCATCATGGACTTTCAACATGACAGTGATCTAAAAAACACACACATCTAAGGCCACATTTGCATTTCTGAAGAACAGGGAGAAAGTGATTCAGTGGTCACATATGTCTCCTGATCTGAACCCAATCAAACATTATGGGGAATTCTGAAGAGACAAGTTGAGCATCACTCTCCATCCAGCATCCAGGCTCTAAAAGAGGTCGTTCTTGAATAGAAGAAAAAAAAAAAATTATATATATATATATATATATATATATATATATATATATATATATATATATATATCTTGCAACATGTTGCCAACTCATTCATTCCGTGCCTAGAAGACTTGGTGCTGTCCTTACAAATCACGGAGGTCATACAAAATACTAGGTGTAGTAGTTTTTGTTATGGGGTGTATTTATTTTTGCATCAATTAATTTGAGTAAAGCTGAAGATTTTGCAAGTTATATTATTAACCTTACTTTCATGTAATGAGCCACTGTTCTAAAAAATTCAGTGTTGTCAACATTTTGGAAATTGTTCTGGTGTTCGAGATATTGATTAAAATATTTATTTTGCAATAGGGGCGTACTCATTCATGACACTGCTCAAAAAATTAAAAGGAACACTTTTGAAAACACATCAGATCTCAATGGGGAAAAATATCATGCTGGATAGCTATACTGATATGGACTGGGTAATGTGTTAGGAACGTAAGGAACATTGTTTGATGAAAATTATCTACAGACGACTAAATTCAAAGACACCTCGAAAATCAAAGTGAAAAAAAAAAAAAAATGCAGCAGGCTAGTCCTTTTTGCCGAAAATTCATTGCAGCAACTCACAAATGGTACTCAGTAGTTTGTACGGCGCCCATGTGTTTGTATGCATGCCTGACAACGTCAGGGCATATTCCTAATGAGGCAACGGTTGGTACCCTGGGGTATTTCCTCCCAGATCTGGACCAGGGCATCACTGCGCTCCTGTACAGTCTGAGGTGCAACCTGGCAGCGTTGGATAGGGGCCGAAACATGATATCCAAGAGGTGTTTGATTGGATTTAGGTCAGGCGAGCGTGGAGGACATTCAATAATATCAATTCCTTCATCCTCCAGGAAGTGCCTACATACTCTCGCCACATGAGGCCGGGCATTGTCCTGCACCAGCGTAGGGTCTGACAATGGGTCCAAGGATGTCATCCAGATACCGAATGGCAGTCAGAGTGCCATTGTCTAGCCTGTAAAGGTCTGTGTGTCCCTCCATGGATATGCATCCCCAGACTATCACTGACCCACCACCAAAACGGTCATGCTGAACGATGTTACAAACAGCATAACGTTCTCCATAGCTGCTCCAGACCCTTTCATATGTGTCACATGTGCTCAGGGTGAACCTGCTCTCATCTGTGAAAAGCACAGGGTGCCAGTGGCGGACCTGCCAATTCTGGTATTTAATGGCAAATGCCAATCTAGCTCTATGGTGCTGGGCAGTGAGCACAGAGCTCACTAGAGGACGTCGGGCCTCAAACCACCCTCATGAAGTTTGTTTGATTGTTGGTCACAGACATTCACACCAGTGGCCTGCTTGAGGTCATTTTGTAGGTCTCTGGCGTGCTAATCCTGTTCCTCCTTGCAAAAAAGGAGCAGATACTGGTCCTGCTGATGGGTTAAAAGGACCTTCTACGGCCCTGTCCAGCTCTCAGAGTAACTGCCTGTCTTCTGGAATCTCTTCTCTTCAGACTGTGCAGGGAGACACAGCAAACCTTCTGGCAATGGCACGTATTGCGTTTAATTGACTTTATGCTATACACTCTCTATATTCATCCTTTCGCTCCTTCTCCCAGTCTGATCTCTGATGTACAGGATATGCTAAAGACTGGAACCGAATTGAACTTGAAAATAGACTGAATTATGTATTTATAAATACTGTAAAGAGCTGCATTTGTGCCTTTATATATGCCTGGAGTCCAGCTTTAAGCAGACAGTCTGCATATATAATGAGAAAATATGTTCAAATACTTTCATTTCTACCTTACATAGAGGGGTATTGCTTTGTAATTCACAAAACAGAATTGGGAAACTTACAATGTTGTTAGGGGTTTCAGATTTGTGCACAGGAAGTTACAAAAGCACAAGAATTCTGACAGAATTAACAGGTAATTTTAAGTACAGAAAAACGTACTTGGGTTTAGATCCTTTAATAAAAATGGTTAACTGTAGTGGAAATCCTAGCAAGCTTCAAGACATACAGCAACCTACTGGCTGTTTACCGATTTTAACCTACAGTAAAATACCCAGAGGAAGGGCCGTAATGCCTTGAAAGCTTCCTATGTTTTCGACCGCACTTAGGCATTACAAAATACTGTCAGCTACTCTTTTTTTTTTTTTTTTTTTTCAATATAAAAGTACCATTCTAAATGTAAAATAAAAATGTTTTTAAAACATCTATAATTACACTTTACTAGCTTCTTTTAGGTCAGAAAACATTTTAACCACAAATCTATAGATGCAAGACAAAAAAAACAAACTTACCTCCGGCACTGCACCTACGGGCGATTTCCCAGTAAACTAAACCCAGAGCATAAATGTCAGCACATTTGAATGAGTCAAAATGTTTCATATTTATAGTTTCATCCAGCACCTCAGGAGCCATATATCTGCAAAACGAAAAACAAACATCTTCAGCAATTTTTCTTCACACTGGTCTTCAAGTACCACTAAAGTGCATGTTTTCTTGACCGTTAGGGAGATGCACAAGCGTATTATTGTGTTTAGCGTGTGAATAAGTAAAGAGAAATAGAAAACATGTAATTCTAGTCAGTCTTGTGCCGTGAAGATGAATGTACCCATCTTTCAATACGGAAGTTCTTCATTTTCCTCAATTCTGATCTAAATCATTCTAGACTCTGTCCCTAGATTGTCCTTTTGTATAAGTTTAAGAGTACTTCAGCACTTATACGTTATTCTTACTCAACCCTGCAGACTGCTCCAAGAAGTTGGTTGAGTTTTTGCAGTAACTGAGTTTCGTATTACTCTCCAACCATCACAAGAGGAAGCTTGGCGTTCTCCCATACCTGCCCTATACTTTACCGGTTTCCCACTCTAGCAAGATCTTCACTAAGCATGTAATATTTCAATTCTATGGAAAGGCCTTCAATGCCTATTCTAAGCCACAGTGTGAGGTGCAGGCCTTTCCTCAGAAATGAATGCAGACTGCAGCATTCACGTGCAAAAACGTAGCGCCCGCCTTGATGAATTTTGAGGAATAGGATGTGTAACAGGAATGACCAGTGAAGATCTAGCTTAATTGGAGACAGGCAAGTACCAAACTTGACAAGAGTACTAGAAAAGGGAACTTGACCTTAAAACGTATAAGTTTACTTGAGGTTCATTTTCCTTTACCTTTCATTGCTGCTAATATAAATGGCCGCTATAACAGCTGGGAATCTTTACATTTTTTTCTGGTTTCCAGCTATATCGTAGAAATGATTTGGGAGGCTTCTAAAGCAGCCCGATCACTTCTACCTGTAAATGTAGGTGCTGCGTCATCCTTTCACGGATCTCCACTACGTAGTATGTGCCTGTTTAATTGACCCCTGATGCCCCCCCCCCCCCCCTTAAAAAGGATACCCCCCCCCCCTTAAAAAGGATACGTTTACCTTTGGTAACATGTTACACCCATATTTAGGGTGTAAAATGTAACATGTTAGGAAAGCACACCTGTCCACACTCCCTGATCCCTTATTTTAACAGCAGGCAGGGGAACTTCTCCCCACATTCTCTGTCACAATTCAAAAATAGTGTGGCCATGCTGGGCTCCACCTGTGAATGAACTACAACTACCATTGTGCTGGTGAGTTCTCTTGTAGGTCATGGATTCTTGCTAGACTTCAGCAACTGTCTGCCTGTACGGGAGGTAAGGGCAGACAGCTGGCTGAGATTCTGCAGGATCCTGGCATTGCACCTGTAATCTGCTGATCGCAGGTGCAATGATTTACAGGCTGAAACAAAATAAATTGAATTATTATTATCATAATAATAAATGCACATTTGTTTACCTGCAAAAAAAGATGTGCATGTATTGTATTAGTTACCAAAAGGTTAACTTAGCCTTTGACCAGTTTGGCTCCAGAGCAATTTTTTCTTATTTGTAGCATACATATAAAAAAAGTTTATTTTTGCAAAAAAGTTACTTAAACCACTAGAACATTATATATTTTCTGAAAGCAGAGGCCATGGAGAATAAAAAGGCAATAGTTGCACATTTTTATATCAGATATTTGCTCAAAATGTTTATTTTTTTTTTTTTTTTATATAAAATTGTGTGTTTAATAAAATACAAAAACATACAATATCCATTTTTGGTGAAATAATAATAGATGAGGTTGCATTGAGTAAATAGATACCAAACATTCCATGTCTTATAATTGCGTGCTCCCATAATATTGCCACAGAACTATGGTGCTCAAAAATCACCATAGCCTTTACAGCTCAACAGTTTAGAGTTAATTAAGAGCTCTTATGCCAGAATTATTGTTCTCACTCAGACGTTCGCGGCGATATGTCACATGTATGGTGCGACCGCGGTTTATATACGCATGCACACTCTGGGCTTGCGCAGGTGAGATAGCATTAGGGTGCTGACAGGTACTCTTTTTGGAGACATTAAGGGGTTTATTTACTAAAGTTGGAGAGTGCAATATCAGACTCACTTCTGCATAGAAACCAATCAGCTTCCAGGTTTCATTGCCAAAGCTTCATTGAACAAGCTGAGGTTAGAAGCTGATTGGTTTCTATGCAGAAGGGAGTCTGATTTTGGACTCTCCAGCTTTAGTAAATAAACCCCTAGGGGTCTAATAGACCCCAATGTGTCCCCTGCCCTTCACACCATCTAACCAAGTACAGATTGGCTTGGTTAGAGGTGTCCCCTGGCTGTAATGGCCAGGAAATGGTGCATCTAAAACAACCAGAAATGAAATCACTTTCGGTATCACTGTTGCACATGAGATCAAGGCATGATTTGCCTCAGTCTCAGCGAACTCCCGCACAAGCTACTGCAGCCATCTGATTGTGATTAAAAGGTTCACTCTTCGGAAGTTTAAAATAATTAAGGAAAAACAGCGCATTAAAAAAAGTTGTCTGAAATACAGGAAAAAAAAAACCCCACAACTCAATTTCTAAAGCCCCCTATCCACTCATACAAAAACAGAATACACGTTGGCTGCATATAAATACGAAAACTATCAAAGCACACATTCATTATCGCTGCATCCGTCGGAATGGAAGAAATTATTTCAGGACCATCGTTCATGGTTACATTTATGAACTGTAAAAGCTTTTAAAACACATTACAATTTTGGGAGCTGTAGTTTTCATACACTACAGATCTCGCAATCTCTTGCAGTCGTCAGTATAAAGATTACTACAGTAATAGCTGGTGACTTCTTGTATGTGTGAATGAGAATTTCTGGGGAGCAGTTACAAAAACACTAGCCAATAACAGCACATGCCGACAGCTACATAAGCTATTGTATTACCTGCCAGAGTGTGCTGTTGTATTCTTGTGTTTTTGTAAATTATTAGCACTGCTCCTCAGCCGCTGTCATTCACACAACACACAGGCCACCAGCTACTACTGTAGTAATCTACTCTGAAATAGCTAGAGGTAGCAGGAGCTTGCAGGTTCTGTTTTAACAGTAGCAGAGAAGGTATGCCTGCCGAATAGGAGGCTTCTCTAGGCTACATGGAATTCAACACATTATTAGAGTAACCTATTTGAAGGGGAGGCTGGACACAGCAGAATCAAATCTGTAGTCCTCCAAAATTACCAACAGACCTCTACAGAATATCCCAATGATACCAATGAAACATACAATATTTTTCATGTAACAAGACAATTTTGGTTATGCTGTGCTACAGAACCTTCTTAGAATATTATGGGTATAACTAACAGTCTCAAAGTTCAACACACCTCTTATAACGTTGCTATACGACCTACTATGGATCTAACAATAACAATGTAGTACAAAGGCCTGCCTAACTGGATAGAATAGAAATGGATAATTTAGGTTTTAATTTTACATTAAAGATTGTATAAAGATTTTACTGTTCAAATGTGAAATGAATGGCAGGAATAAACTCTGGAGCTGACAGATTAAGCTCATGGATCAGTAAAGCCTGGAAAAACAGGCATGAAAAACACCGATTTCCAAACATACATGTGAAGTTAAAACATTTACTGGAAAAAAAAAACTGGTAATCTGTTTCTTTCACCAGCTGTAAAATACAAAAAGTACAGTACAAACAGTGATGTAAGCAGAAGACAGAACTATAGATCTGACTCACCGTTTGGTCCCCACTCTCTGATTAGGGGCAATGTCTATGGTATCAGTCAGGGAGTCATGGCGCACAGCAAGACCTAAATCAGCAATTGCACACACTCCATTTTTCTTTACCAGGATATTTTTAGACTTGAGGTCCCTGTGAGCAATTCCAGGTTTTCCTATTAAAAGAGACAACAGTAAATTCAATCTGTCCTAAAATTAAAGCAGTCTAAACCTGGAATATCAAAATGGAGCAATACATGAAGAAAAGAAGAAAACTTCTTACCCTGAGTTCCAACAATTTCCATATGTAGGTGTGCAAGGCCACTGGCTGCTGAGAGGGCAAGCTTTATCATCCCCTCAATGGTAACTGTGTATCGGTTCAAATAGTCGAACAGTGAGCCATGTTCATGGTAATCTGAGACAAGCCACAGCTGGGTCCATGTTCCATTGTCTGCAAAATGTTAATCCAATAAACCATTTTACCAGTGGAATTGTAAAACTAATCTGCTTATTAATGTGCTAAGGCAGCTCAAATTTCACAGGGGATGGGTTTAAAATGCTGGTTGGAAAACAATGTAGCTTAAGATGAAGAATTTTCTGCTTATCACTTTACAAAGCAAATTCTGTCTAAAGATACTTATGTAAGTAGGAGAGATCCAGCTCTCTATGCAACACACTAAAACATCAAGCCTGCGGGCTTTCCCAAAATCAAGATTTGTTTATCACAGCATGTTAATATAAATTACCACCATAACTAAAGTTTCCCATAGTCTGCCAATGACCCTAATCTTGGAGCTGTCATTTTATGAGTCTGTCTGCTATACTCTCTTTACAAAAGAATATCCATAAATATTTGGCGGAACCTCGGAGCATTTGCATTTTTTGCATTATGGCAGTCCTGGGAGACAAAAGGCAGTCATGACAGTGTCTGCAAATCTAAGCTCCCTCTAAAGTATATTATACGTTCTGTACAAATATTGAGAGACTCAGGACAATTGCAAATGGACATGCAATACTGCAACTGTTTGTCAGTGCAGCATGTTTGAGGGGGGGAAAAAAAAAAAAAAAAAAAAGGAGGAAGAAGAAGAAGAGGGGAGAAGGGAGAAGGGAGGAGAAGGAGGAAGGAGGGAGAAGGAAGAAGAAAAAAGAAGAAGAAAAAGAAGAAGAAGTCAGGCAGCAGCAAGAATAAAGTGATACTAAACCTAAAATTTTTATTTTTTTTTCTTAACCTTAATGCATTCCTTGTCCCGCTGTGTGTGTCTATGGAGCGCGGCTCCGGAGACACACAGGTCAGGAGCGACCACGCAGACGACTGTTGCTGTGCAGAGAATTGAATTAAATGTACACCATGTACAATTCCAATAAAGCAAATTTTTAAAATATGTATATATCAGTAAATGCAATATCCTCCTGCGCTTAGTTGGGTAAGTCCCTATCCTAACAGCTGCTAACACTCTGCCTTAACCAATAAGTATTAAAGTATCAAAACCAAAAATAGTGAAGCGCTAAAATGAATCCCTAAATACACACATAGTGCATATAATATTAAGTGAAAACCATACCTCATAAATAAATTATATCCGTGACATAAAAAAATATCAATATAAAAACAAAATATATAAGGAAAAACTTTTCCTTGCCCTTAAATTAATTCTTCAAATCAAACATTAATAAAAAATAAAAAATCCATAATATTGCGAATAAACAGTGATGAAAAAAAATATATATATAAAAAAACTGTGTTAATTAACATATATATATTTGTGATTATTTCTAATAATAAATGTGACCTAACAGAATAAAAAATATAAAAAAAAAAAATGTGAATCTCAATCAAATGTACGTGATTATTGTGAAAAAACCATATATTAAACTATTACATAAAAAAATCACTAAAACTTGTGATATTTCAAATATGAAAAAGTGTCCATAAATGAACAAACACAGTCCATGCAGTAAGGTGAAAACGACACTCAGTGTTCTTCACTTCTAGTGCTCATAAAAAAAGAAAGGGAAGAAATCCTCCAATGGCAGCAATGCCTGCTCACCTCCCCAACTCGACCCGCAAAGGGCCACAAGGCTATAACTCTCCTCCAGAAAATCGTTTGCTTCCAAGCAGCTCAGTAAGGAATCACAGGACCTCCTCTCCACCTCCTATCAAACGTCATATAGGACACAAACAGAGCTTCCCATAGTGTAATACCATTTGTTTATTTAAGACACTCCATATAACAAACTGTTTCCACTCACATGCGTTTGGTTAATAAAATGCAGTCCTCCTCATTCCCTGGGTGCATTCACATGTAAAGAGGGAAACCAATATGGTCGCTGTGCTCGGACATCCGTCCCCACGTGACCGGAAATGATGTGTCTCTGGGCTGGGAAAAGCGTGCCTGATGAAGTCACGACGCACGTGACGCAACGCATCGGCACGCTTTTCCCAGCCCAGAGACACATCATTTCCGGTCACGTGGGGACGGATGTCCGAGCACAGCGACCATATTGGTTTCCCTCTTTACATGTGAATGCACCCAGGGAATGAGGAGGACTGCATTTTTATTAACCAAACGCATGTGAGTGGAAACAGTTTGTTATATGGAGTGTCTTAAATAAACAAATGGTATTACACTATGGGAACCTCTGTTTGTGTCCTATATGACGTTTGAGAGGAGGTGGAGAGGAGGTCCTGTGATTCCTTACTGAGCTGCTTGGAAGCAAACGATTTCCTGGAGGAGAGTTATAGCCTTGTGGCCCTTTGCGGGTCGAGTTGGGGAGGTGAGCAGGCATTGCTGCCATTGGAGGATTTCTTCCCTTTCTTTTTTATGAGCACTAGAAGTGAAGAACACTGAGTGTCGTTTTCACCTTACTGCATGGACTGTGTTTGTTCATTTATGGACACTTTTTCATATTTGAAATATCACAAGTTTTAGTGATTTTTTTATGTAATAGTTTAATATATGGTTTTTTCACAATAATCACGTACATTTGATTGAGATTCACATTTTTTTTATATTTTTTATTCTGTTAGGTTGTCACATTTATTTTAGAAATAATCACAAATATATATATATGTTAATTAACACAGTTTTTTATATATATTTTTTTTTTCATCACTGTTTATTCGCAATATTATGGATTTTTTATTTTTTATTAATGTTTGATTTGAAGAATTAATTTAAGGGCAAGGAAAAGTTTTTCCTTATATATTTTGTTTTATATTGATATTTTTTTATGTCACGGATATAATTTATTTATGAGGTATGGTTTTCACTTAATATTATATGCACTATATTTAGGGATTCATTTTAGCGCTTCACTATTTTTGGTTTTGATGTATATATCAGTGCCTTCTCTCTCATACGTTACAGATTCCTAACTGTGCTGATAGTTCTGAATAAAGTAACAGTACCATACCTTTGTTATCTGCGGCAATAAATCCCAATATATTCTCATGCCGCAACATCACAGTCTGGTAGATCTCCGCTTCCCTGAACCATGACCGCTCCTCCCTTGAAGAGAATATTTTGACAGCTACATCGCCTCCTCTCCACTTGCCACGCCATACTTCACCAAAGCGACCCTTTCCAATTATTTCCTGTAAGACAATTGTCCTTGCTACAGTACGCTGAACAAAAAGCGGTAGTCCTGCAGTGAAAAAAAAAAAAAAAAAAAAAAACTCATCAACTGCTTGCTGAATAAAGAGTAAGGTATGTCCAGTTATGTATTAATTGAATGAATTTTTTAAATATGGTTTCAATAAATTTATGAAAACTTTATTAAAATTGCATTATACCCTGTACACCATAAATCAGACAGAGTGGAAGGTTAAACACCAAGCTGATAATCATGCTCTTCTGCATTGCAATGTTCTTAGATGTTCCAAGCAGTGAAAAGTGGAAGGGGATGCTTTAGATACTTACCGAGGACAGTATGGTAGAACTCCCCAGTACAGTTATGCCAATTCAGATACTGGAGACAAGGATTCAAGAAGATGACGACCTGCTATAGTGCGGCAATTTCATGTTTTAATTACAAAATTCTCTGAATTACATAATTTGCCAAGTAAAACAGTTTGCAATACTTTGCATAATTGCTCCAGCACAGTCACGCGCTGGAGCGATTATGGCATAAACCCAAATCCCCTCGAGCGTTCTCCCTCTACAAATCCACCTTCCTCACCTACACCACCTCCCTCCACGCTGCCAAACAAGCCTACTTCTTAACCCTCATCAACACCCTCTCCACCTGTCCTCGCCGGCTCTTCTCTACTTTCAACTCCCTACTCTCCCTCCCCCCCACCTCCACCCAGTATCTCACTCACCGCCCACGAGATTGCCAATCATTTCCAAAACAAGATCGACACAATCCTAAAGACATTGCCAATACTCAATCTACCTCCCCACCTAGCCTCCCTCCCACGATAACCCCCTCAACTCTCCCATCTGACCTCGCAACCGCCCTGCCCCCCCACCACACCTAGCATCCCACACACTATAACCTCCCCAACACTCCGCTCCTTCAGCCTTTCTACCACTGAGGAGGTCACTAAGGTCTTCTCAGAAGCCTGCCTCACCACTTGCCCCCTTGACCCCGTCCCCACACAACTCCTCTGGTCACCCTCCTCCGTCCTACGCTCCCTCACCCACATCTTCAATCTCTCCCTCTCTACTGGCGCATTCCCCTCCCCCCTAAAGCACGCGCACATCACCCTCATGCTCAAAAAACCCTCCCTGGACCCCACCAACCTGAACAACCTTAGACCAATCTCCCTGCTGTCATTTACATCCAAGCTCCTTGAGCGCTTAGTCTACAATCGCCTAAGCTCCCACCTCACTGACAACAACCTCCTCGATCCACTACAGTCTGGCTTCCGTCCCCTACACTCCACTGAACCCGCCCTACTCAAAATCACTAAATGACCTGCTAACCGCCAAAGCTAATGGCCACTACTTAGTCCTCCTACTCCTCGACCTCTCCGCGGCCTTCGACACAGTTGACCACCCCCTCCTCAATAAACTACACTCCCTTGGCATCAGAAACTCTGCTCTCTCCTGGCTCTCCTCCTATCTATCCCAATGCTCCTTCAGCGTTACCTCTAACGCTACCACCTCCCCCTCTGTTGGGGTCCCCCAAGGCTCTGTTCTCGGGCCCCTTCTCTTCACCATCTACACTTCCTCCCTCGGCAAACTGATACACTCCCACAGCTTCAACTATCACCTCTACGCCGATGACACACAAATTTACCTCTCCACCCCTCACCTCACCCCTTCAGTCTCCGCCCGTATCTCTCACCTACTGAACGGCATATCAAACTGGATGTTGCTCCATTTACTCAAATTGAACCTTTCCAAAACCGAACTCCTAATTTTCCCCCTATCCCGTGCCCCCCCCCCCCCCCCCCATCCTCTCCATCACAACCAACAACTCCACCATCAGTCCCACCCCGCAAGCCAAAGTCCTAGGTGTCAATCTAGACTCAAACCTGTCCTTCCAACCCCATGTCCAATCACTGGCAAACTCATGCAGGCTCCACCTCCGCAACATCTCCAAAATACATACGTTCCTAACCCCCAGACACTACTAAACAACTCGTTCACTCCCTTATTATCTCACGTCTGGACTACTGCAACTCCCTTCTCACCGGCCTACCCCAACACAGGCTATCCCCGCTTCAGTCTATCCTGAACTCAGCAGCCAGACTCATCCACCTTACCAACCGCTCCGCTTCTGCCACCCCCCTCTGTCATTCCCTCCACTGGCTTCAGATTACCCAACGCATGAAATTCAAACTACTAACATTGACATACAAAGCCATTCATAACGCTGCCCCAAACTACCTCACCGACCTGATACCCAAATACCACCCAACCCGTACTCTTCGCTCCTCACAAGACCTCCTACTTTCTAGCTCCCTGGTCTCCTCCTCCCACGCCCGACTGCAGGACTTCCCCCATCCTCTGGATCTCACTACCCCAATCCATCAGACTGTCACCTACCCTCCTCACCTTTAGGCGCACCCTGAAAACCCATCTCTTCAGGGAAGCCTACCCCACTCTCACCTAACAGCCGATCTCCTCCACTCCTCCTACCACTCCATCCCCCACAGCCACTTCCTCCTGTACCACTATCTCCTCCCTCCTAGATTGTAAGCTCGAAAGAGCAGGGCCCTCGAACCCCTCGTGTATTGTTTAGTTACTGTATTGTCTCATGTACTGCCCCCCACTATAATGTACAGCACTGAGCAAACCTTTTGGCGCTATATACTGTATAATAATAATAATTAAAAACGTAATTAAAATGTGTCCCTGGCTAGAGTTTCTGAATTTCACAAAGAAAGATGATTTAAGATTTGTTCCCATCTACTATGATATTCAATTGCAAACTTATTCTGTTTTAATCCTTGGTCCAACTACCAAACCCCTCAGCAGAATGTTCCAAGCCTGACTCAACAGTCTTCGAAACCAGGACAATCCAGAGCACTATTAACACATTGGAGTTACAACCTACAAACTGGCTGCATCCTAGAATATACAGGTACAAGGTCCATTATCTGGAAACCCATTACAGGAATAACTCGTTTTAGGAGTTTAATTTGTTCTGCAGGACTTTTGTATATAGAAAAATTTGTAAACCGAAATGCTGTTTCCCATAGGAATGTATTGAAAACCAATTAATCCATTCCTGAAATCAGAAAAAAAAAGTAAAAAACAACTAAAATACCGCATGAGTTATTTTATTAAGCCATGCGTTATTTTAGTAGTGACAACCATGTGTTAATGTTTCAGCTGTCAGCAGGGTTCTCCACTGACAGCTGAATGTAAAAGAATTGCCGGCAATTAAAAAAAATAGTTTAAAAAATGGCGTGGGGTTCCCCCTCCCATCCGCACAAAGTCCTTCGGGTCTGGTATGGATTTTTAGGGGAACTCCCACACCAAAATGTAAAAAAAAAAAAAAAAAAAAAAAAAAAAAAAAAACGGTGTGGGATCCCCCCACAATCCACACCAGACCCTCTTCCGAGCATGCAGCCCAGTAAATCACATGCCCTCAACATGAGGGGGGAAGGGGGGGGGGGTGTGCTCTGGGGCACTTTGTATAGCGAAAAAACATTGGTAAAAAAAAAAAAAAAAAAAAAAATCGTAAACTGAGGCATTTAAATGGCTTTTCATTCGTAAACCAAAAATTTATCTTAACCAAGGCACCACTGTATCACAATTAAACAATCCAGGAGGGAGAAGTAGTAGAAAAAAAAAAAAAAAAAAAAAATAAATCAATTGGTAAAAGATACTGGTAAAGACACTTAAAACCACTCGCTAACTGCGAGTATTTATCAGAGCAGGTAAAGAGTAACTGGGTAACATACCCTAAGCAAATTTTTATGTGAATGCATATAATAACCTCTGCACGTATTTTCTACAATTCTTACAGAACAGTAGTTCTCAGTATTACAAGTCGTCCATATAAACCTACTTCTGCAATGAAAGTCTGCAATTATTAGCGAACATGGAGGATTTAGGTTTTTATTCCAACTTTGATCTGATAAACATTTTTAATTGTAATTGATGAAGTAATGTGCACTTGAACTAACCTTCAACTAATCTCAAACACCATGTACACCTAGGCAAGCTATAGATCTGTGTTTGCTGGAAAGAAAATTGCTCAATTACCCCCATCCAGTTTGAAAGGGAGCCATCCCTGCTGGGAGTACAGAGTGATTATTGCTAGCAGCTTTATCCACTGGCAATAATCACATATTAGAACTCAAACATGCTGGTTGTACCCAAGTTGATCGATGGATAGACTTGGGTACAGTTGCCTGCCCATACATGGATTGAATCTCGGCCAGTCCCAGCTGAACCAGCTGAGATTCAAACTATCTATAGCCAGTTTTACTCTAAGGGCTCATGCACTGGACTGTATCTGGCCATACAGCGTAAATTACAGTGTGCTGCATAAAGCTGCCTACATAGTCTAGGCTCTATGCATGTATACACAAATAACTGTGTAATCACACATATGCATATGGGCACACAACTTAAAGTAGATTTCTACATTCAAAGCTGTATTCCTGTACACATTTTGCAGGTACTCTTGTATACACTGTACACCCCATACAACCACTGACTTTTATAGGCAGTTGCATGCAGCACCTGTGGACTTCCACCCATGTGGATGGGCCCTAAATGTACTTCCACTTTATCAATCTAGTTTTCAGTGTCTGGGTAGTGAAAGTTTGAAACGAGTCATTAGAAAATAATGCACCTCAAGGTAAAAGGTGAGAAAAACATCCAAATATTGGTCACACTGCATTATCAACCTCACACTCCAGCTCCCAATGCCTGAAAACATATTAGAACAGCAATGAGCAATGCCTTAGAGACAAACTAGATAATGGTTCACAGCTCACTATCAAGTCAGGTGACTGAAAAATTTAGAGAAAGATTCCTGTGTAGGTATACTACCAGTATTCTGAAAAACCTGGAGGGAAGGGTGTTTGGGAACATCTTGAAAAAAAAAAAAAAAAAAAAAAAAAAAGTCTGTTGCAACTTAAAACAAATTTCAACACAATCTCTAATGCAACCAAGAAACAGGGGGTTAGGTTACCTCATTTTATATACAGAGTCTAACAGTTTCTGTAGAATGTGATTTGTGTTTCTCTGCCATCACAGGCAGCCAGGCTTGTGAAGTCACTGTGGCCCTCAAACAGGTATATGTAAACATGCTGACATACCCTCAGCATTCTACAAAGTTACAAATAATGTCTTGATTTAAAAAAAAAAACAAAAAAACACACACATACTTCATCCCAAATGAAAAGATTTCACCTTTTTTTTCACTCCACATTCCCCCTATAGTTGAATTAAATATTTCTTCATATCCAACTCCCTCCTTAGCTGGCACCCTACATGTCAAACTGGTTCCCAGATCTAGTTGGATCACTTTTCTCTATGTGACAGACTGGTCCTGACACCCTGAAACAGTCCCTTACTTGGAGACCTAATGAACCCCTTCTCATTGATCTAACAGTCCAAAAGGCAGAGAGATGGTAGCCACATGCACTTGGTGGAACACGCATGGCTCATACTGGGCGCGTGATCCCTCTCCAGCCTGGGTGCCCCTTGTACCCCCCTTTCCTACGGTGCTCAATTTCTACATATTTTCTTTACCTTTTGATCTCTCTGCTTTCTTGTTCTTAAGCTTGTCCATAGATGGATAGAGATTCAGCCTGGTAAGCAGGGACCAGACAAATTTTGATCCTTGTAGAGGCCCTGTGGTTGTACAGAAGGTGATCTACCGATCACCTTCTGTACAACTTCTCTGCTGGAAAATTTCCTCTCAAATCAATGATGCATGCTATAACATGCAGTGCTGATCTGACTTTTGAAAGCGGGGAAGTCTCCCTGCTTGTCAGAACACAATGATACAGCTGGAGGATTCTCAAATCCACCTCGAATGTGTGGATGGAAGAATCAGGACGGTTTTTTTTTTTTTTTCATTCAACTAATAATCTGACCTATGGCAAGATTTAATGAGTTTTTCATGACGGTATGATCTGAAAGTCTAATGACTGCTTCATTTTCTGTGCTCTGCCCTGTTTTTGGGCTGACACCTCTACCGTGTTCTATATTGTCTTATGTTTGTCAAACCTCTCTCTCTTCCTGATATATATATAATATATCTCTCTATATTTTAGGCGGACCTGATCAGACCAGCCATTTTTTCCCTCCATTGGGAGACAGAGGTAAACAGACATGTCTCTTTACCCCTTTCTGCATCCGCTAAAACAGATGGATGGGGGGGATCCGTTCCTCATTCGTCCGAGATCGGATGACAGTCTGCTGTAAAACGGACAGGTGGTCTTGTCTACATCTGACCGCCCCATAGAGAATAGCGGGCTGTGTCTGTGTCCAGTCTGCACAAGTGGTGCAGACACAGACATGTCATCCGCCTGCTCAGCAGAAATCAATGGACAGATCCCCTGCTGAGCAGCCGGTCCGCTTGGCAGAGTCCACCTGTGTGAAAAGGGCCTAAATGTTCAAAGGTCATTAAGTGCTGCAGAAATTATTGGATAGCAGCATAAAATTCTGAATAAACCTGTTCTGGTTCTTAATTAGTATGCATCCAACAACCTTGAATCAAATACAACACAACCTTCACACCACACCTAGCTTTTGCTTTGGTAAGTCTTCATTTCCAAGATTAGCTTATAATTCTAGGTCAACATATATATTTAACCCTGTGACACTTATCACTCCTACAACAAACTTTACCTGAGCCAGAACCTGATGTGGACAGATCATAGATCAAATCTGGAAGAGTTTTATCTTTAGCCAGATACATTTCACATGATGGATCCTCCAAGTCCAGCCTCTGTCGGTTGTGATACACTCGCTGGTGACAGTGGAACAGAACCACCACAATAAGGATAACACCTAGGAGAAACATTGGGCCAGCTATGACAGCCACAAGTTCCACTGGGCCCCAGCCTGATGGAGGAACTTTTGTATAACCTGCAAGCCAAAAAAAAAAAAAAAAAAAAAAAAAAAAAGACATACATGTAATAACTAGGCTTATTGTAAGAGAGGAAGCTGCAGTCAATTGTTTTCTGTCTTACTGCTTAAAGGCAACAACAAAATACATATAGTTTTCGCCAACATCCACAAAAACTGCAAGTTCTACACAAAACAATTTATGTAGTGCCTTGTGTATTATGTAGCTCTTAAAAAAGGGAAGTCTTGATACTGTGCCTCCTGAACTCTACTCCTACCAACAGCATTAGTAACACAGGAGGTAGCTTGGTGTGAGAGGAAGTAGGAGCCAGCCATGGTTGCTATGTGCAACCCTCAAAGATTTGTTTTACACATTTTATAAATTTTGCTTGTTGTCCAATCTTATTGTTATGTTGTATGATATTTGCTTTTCAATTTTCAAAACATTTTCACTTTTGAAAAACACTCTAGTTCTAAAACTTTTTTTTTTTTTTTTGCAAAAAAATTTATCACATAAATACGGGAAACACACATTGTTCTTCCTTATCAAGACTTTCCATTGCAACTAAAGGAATATTACATTTGAGAAAATATTCCCTATGAATCAGCACAGTGGAGTGGAGCCTGCATTCCTTATAGTGACCATATATGGATTAACATGATTGCCAAGCCTGACCAGAACTGAAGTCCACAGCCACCAGGTATTCATACTGAATAACCAGAGCTAAAAGCATTTTACAATCTATCAAATAAAAAAGTCCCTGTGCTCAACAGCTACCTTTGTCCCATTTAGAAATACAGGAAGAAAGAAATTAGGATGTGTATATCTTGAAGGGTAGGTTATACAAGTTAGATCTCTTTCTAACAAAAAACACGAGTTCCATCTATGGAAACTGGATGAAAACAGATGCAACTGTGTTGTCTACACCATGGGATTTCCAGGTGCTGGTGTAAGTATGAAAAACACTAAAAAAAAAAAAAAAAAAAAAAAATAATAATAATAATAATAATAATATAAGAAACAGACCACACAAAGCTGATTATTTCAGTTATGGGTGGTCCCTGGTGGTTTGAAATTACTGGTAATGTATATTTCTTGAGCAGCAAGGTCTCCCTGCCTGAATTCCTGACTCTGCTTATGTCCACAGAGTCTAAAAATAATTTAATACAGAAGAAATATTTTTGTTCATGCTTCATGAAAGTATAAAAAAAAAAAAAAAAAAAAAAAAAAAAACACACAAACAAGAAGGGAAACAGTGGACCCCAAACTTAAAAAGGCAGGTGAGCAGAGAGGAACATCAAAGATATTCACTGGTGTGAAAATTAAATTCATACCATTGGGCACCAGGAGGTCCTTGCTGTTGCAGTCATCTGTGTAGCAGCATTCAGTATTGCGGATGTCCTCTGAGCTTAGACAGTAGAATGGTTTTCCTGCAGGTACAAGTTCACTCTTTGAAATGCATGCTCGCATTTGATGTCTCATTCCGTCGATGTTGGCAATTGAGACCATACAGGCTCCATCTGTCTCACATGTATAGTTCGATTTGATGCAGCTAGAGCACAGACATCGAAGCGCTAAAAGGGATTACAAATAGTAAGATGAAGATCAGCTTAACAATGCTTACTGAAAAATATATGTATATGCTGAAAAAGGACACTGTAGCAAAGCAAAGCACTTGTGTGATAGATCTCACACTTGAAAACCATTCCACTGTATATTAGTTCCAGGGCAGACACACATTGCGTTTAACATTACTGCACTAGAAGTAATATCTGGTATGTCAGTCAGTTTTTTTTTTTGTTTTTTTTAATTTAACATAGTGAAATAAAGCAGTATTTTATATAAAAACTGACAAACAGCCAGGGTTTTTCACGTGCAACAAAAAATGTACTACGCATAAACTATTTTGTATTAAAAAGCTTTCAATTTACTGAAATAATCATTTTTTTGTTCCATTAAAAAAAGAAGAAATATTTTTCATTGGGAAACCTACTGGGGCCTTGGTACAACCAGAAACCTGGATATTCAATGTCTGATATCACACCTTTTCACATAATACCCTGGTTAACCCACCCTTTAAAAAGACTGGTGATACATTATACCATTTTCTTGTACAATTTTAATTAAAATTTACCAAAACCATGAGGTCAAACCTAAACATTTCCAATTGGATTGCAGTCAGGCAGGCCCTTGCACTACATAGTTAAAGGTAAAGCCAAAGGAAGTTGAATAAGAAAATTGTATAATGTATGGCCAGCTTTACATATAAAATTACATATTATAAATAACATTTTTTAGTGTCGATTACAATGATGAGGCCTGTGTGAATTGGACATGAGTCACCTGACCTGTTACATCAGGAATTGTGAAAGAGGCAAGCTGGAGCATCGATAAAATTGTCTGAGGCATCCCCCACAACAACAAACAGCAAGGGCTAAAAATCTAAGCCATCCTCAGAACATGATGCAAAAGATAGGATCCTTAGATCAGCACAAAATCCTTAGGTGTGACACCCAAACTCTTTATGGGTGAACAATTTGTACTGGGACGTTCTACCTTGCCCTCATCCCAGCTAATAATCCTGTCAAAGTTTGTTTATATGAAATAATTTGGCTTATAAATAGTTACACCTATATAGCAATAAGGAAATCTACTGCAGAGAATCACCAACAAGGAGGCAACTCATGGTGTTGATACAAAGCTTCTGCATTACATTTATTTATTTTTGCACGGTCACTAAGTACGAGAGGATCAGAGCAATGTACTTACGATCTAGAAGTTTTCACTAGTTCTCTGGAGCTTTATTTTTTTTTTTTTTTTAAGACAGCTTTATGAAGTCTGTTTTTTTTTTAATCAATTACAGATTTTGCAATCACTTTCTCATTGCGAAAAAAAAATTGCATAATACTGAGTCATTAGAACGTTTGACGGGAAAAAGCAGGATCTGTCTTTCCCATCAATCGGTACAAAACTTTTGTCAAAAGGAGATTCAAAAAGCTGAAAGTTTAAATTGGAACTCCAGTTTCCTAAAACAAAACATATAGTATAGTATGTGGTGAAAAAAATACTCACCTGATTGCCAGAAACGCCACTCTGCCATCAGGTTGAATGACACACCCCCTTGGGGAGGTGATAAAAGTAAAGGGTACGTATTAAGGGGAAATAAAATTGGTGCAGGGTATACACACACTCAGGTTTTTTTTTCTTCGTTCAATCCACGGAAGGGAAAAAAAAAAAAAATGAGTCTCTGCTGCTGAGCTACAGTATTCTGACAGGGGGGCTACGACCCCCGAAATCTGTCCCCACTAGAATACACTGATCAGCACTTGCAGGCATTGGCTGCAAGCATTGACTGAATACTGGTTTTCCAGCAAGACTGTTCAGCAGGAGCCAGCCATTAGATCGATCAACAGAAGCAAGTTGCTACACAGGCTTCTGCTTAACAACCAGCAGTACACATGTACCGAAAGTCAGCCAGTTCCTGCTGAACCGGCCGACTTTCACAGTACATGTATACAGGGCTTTACACCACTGTCCTTTGAGCAATCACTATATACTGGTGAATGCAGGTGGATCCTTTACAAAAAGGTCAGGAACTTTTTTTTTTTTTTTTTTACAGTAAATATATACAATTCTGTACACCTTGTCTTGAAGAACAGTGTGGTCTGCCGTTCACATCCATTATTTTAATAAATTCCACAGGAGAGATTCCCATTTACTCTGTTTCTACAACACCAGGCTAGAAGAATGAAGGGGCAGGTGTCGCTCGGAAAAGAATACAGAGCAACTAAAACCTTGCAGAGATTCTACAAAAATGAAGTGTTTAGTTGTGGACAAGTAGAGTTAGTCTGTTCATAGTGGAGAGGGAGGGGAAAAAAAACTTTCCAATTTGGATACAGTAAGATCACAAAGATTCTTCAGCTTTAATCAGTTAAAGTAAATGTAAACTCAGAAATCACATACAAACAGTTGAAAAGCTGCAATTTTGACAGCATTGGCTGCATTAGGACTTAGGCACACAAGTGCCAAAATACATGCACTCAGAGCCAAGTTTCTAAATGTGTCTAGAAAACATGTAATGCTTTGCAATGACTGAATTCACACCTAGAAAACCTAGCATCTAGCTGCATTTATATAAAACACAGAGATGTTTGTGTCCAGAACAGTTTATATGGTTTTTTTTGCCATTAAACATGTTTAAAAGGTTGGTCAGCCTTCCACAGATGCGCTGGTGTTTCTGCTAGGGGAGGTCAAGAAGTTCCAAAAATATCTATGATCTCCTGATGACAGACTGCATGCAATCTCTACAATATCTTCAGGATAAGTGGGATTTACCTGATAAAGAGGCCGTTCACTAAGTTCTGATCAAGCATTATATCCTTGGCCTTACTTTGAACTGTACCAACTGCCCAACCAGACTGTACAATTCCTAACTTTGCCTACCCTCATTTTCCTTTTCTTCCCTACCTACTTTCCCCTTTTTATTTGCCTCTCATACTCTATGTATGTATCGCCATCTCCTTTTCTTCTCCCTCTGTGCAACACGTATTTGCATACCTGAAGTGTTCCTGCGCACCTTTTGACCCCAAGACTTTAATGTTTTCAGTGGCAAATCACAATGTGCTTGCATTTATGATACAGTTTTGGCTCAACAATGCTGTATTGTCCTAATTAATTGGGTTTATGGAAACTGCATTTATGCCACTCCAAAGCATTTATTTGCATTGCTCTCCAAAACCAATAAATGTTTGGTAAAATAAGCATGTGTAAACGCAAGAGAACTTCATCTATAATGTTTGTTTGTATTTCCCAGATCAATTTCTCTTGCCAAACACAGGTGGCAGATATTTTCTTATCACCTGCTTTAACTCCCTGAACCCTGCAAAAAGAAAGCAGATGCGGGGCGCTTGCTTGAATGGGTCACGACTGGCAGGCGGTAGCACCCAACAAAACGAACAGGGGGTTTAATTTCTGCTGCAACATGTGTACACCTTTGGCTGCTACCTCAGCAGCTAAAGGGGGAAGGGATTGGGTTTTACCACCCACCAACTGTATGTGTGAATGAGCCCTAAGTGCTCATTCACAAGTGTAGTAGGCACTGCTCTTCCTCTGAAAAGCAATCCAAGTGTGTTTGACAATTGGTGAGGAGACAATATGTTGCCTCCTCACCACCTGATTTAAACCCATGGTTGCCGTGCAATGCACTCAATTGCAACACGGTAGTACGACAATTAGAGGTTTCAATCAGGTGTGAGGAGGCGACACTGAGCCTGGTAATCTTTGTTCAGTTAGATCTCCACCTCCTTAAGGTTGCCTACCCCTACTTTAAAGCATATCTAAATACAAGAATAAATAAGTAATATATTGCAGTTTAACACTCTTTAGATGTGGAGGCTGCATTAGTTTTCTTTCAGACTTTTTTCGCTTTTCACCTGGTGACCCTGCCCAGAAACGCTCACTCACTGTACTGTATCTATAGAAAAGCAGCAATGTTATAACATGACAGGACTACAATAACCTCCCGCTTATTTTTTTTTTTATATAACAAAAGTATGGGGTTCTGTAGACCTCAGCTAGTTTAGAACAATGTAACGGATAAGAGTACAGTACAGTCAAAACGAACAGCATCACAAAAGGCAGTATCAACTGTATCAACTGGTAACTGACAAGACTTCTTTCAACCTTCAGTTTTTCTAAGCACTATGTAATGAGAGGGTCTAGGTTCACAATACATTTGATTCATATCCAATATCAGCATTTGTCTTCCATAAACTTTGTTTATCTAAAGCAGATTTTACAGATGTGGTATTGTGTGTAGCCATATACAAAAGCTCAGAAACGCAGTAATGTTCATTATATTTAGATTTTGCTGGGGGAGGGGGGGGTGCAGAACCTTATAATCAGCACAGCAAGACACATCGTCTCTAAGCCAATTTTGCATGTTTCTACTTGTGGTATATTTATTGTGATGTGTCAGATGTCTTGGTAGATAGCTTTATCTTCCAAGACATAGCTGCAGTAGATTAGCTCAGTCCAGGCACTTGGCTGCAAAAAAAGGGTCACAGCCATTGCATTAGAATCATACAAGGAAAGGGCAGATCACTTTATCTCTTGCTGTTCCCATTAAAACTGAAAGACATAATTGTGACAAACTTTTATACCCAAGCACCTAGAAATGTAATTTCAACAAAGTGCTGCGCAACTCACTATATAAAACTGTATTAACTGCCCAATATTAATACATATTCCAACTAAACGTAAAAATATCCTGTGTACTGGAAATTCTATACTCTTGTGTATAGTCCTTATGAAGGTACAATATTCCACGCAAGTGGAATTGCGTACCTTATAAGGTCACACTGTGCACTGAAAACCTGTGCACCATAATGTAAAAGCATGTGTGTACCCTCCCCTAAAGCCGGGTTCCACCCAGAAGGGGAAGTTCGCGCCCACTTCCGCTGCGATCGCCTAGGCGATTGGAAACGGAAGTTGTCCTCTTACCCTCCCTC